ATTACTTTTGGGAGTATTGCCTGTTTCTGGGATATTCTGGTGGCCTTCGACCGGCACTGAAACTTGAAAAAGTTAAATCACACACCGCAATTTTTTCGAAGTGTTTACTTGTCGTTATAGTGAGTGTCAAATGAAATAGTTTTTTGATATGTGTTCTTCAAAATCAATTTTTTTAAAAATTTTCCCAAAAATTTCTTGGCCAATTTTATCAAATGAATGGAATCAACGCAACTGTCAGCATATTGGCAAAACTAGCCTATATTTAAGATGTTAGCATGCCGCTCAGTAGTTACTGCAGGAATGGATTTAGAGGCCAGTCAACCACGAGATTCATGAGCTCGGGCGTATTTCCCCACAACAGCAATTTCTTTGGCTGCCTGAGTTGCCTCCTCAATTCTTAGGACTTCCTATGCATTATATACCGCTGAACCGAAAAATAAAGCTGCTTTTGAAAAAAAAATGATGAGTAGTGGCATTGAAAACCCAACTCAAGAATGTGAGTGTTTACTATTTACGGTCTGATTTTATGCTCTAGTGGAATGGTGTAAACATCACGCTTTGATGGGAGAAAAAAATATTTTAAGCTTAAATCACCATATAAATTGCGCAACTGAAGACATTTTTTAGGAAGAAATAGGAAGAACTGACCTTTGCGCTGGCCTTTCTTCAGCTGTATGCGATGCGTCTGCATTTCCTTTTGGACAGATTACCCGGTACACCCACACACGCACACCGCCTCTAAAACATTTGCGAAGTCGTTTTCTACTTCCTTCTGACCATTAAGCTTAACTTTAATATTACTTTAGCCTTAACGATAAATTCTAAGATTCAAAAATTTAATTTTTATGCATTTTGTGTTAAAACAGCAGTGAAGAAAGGATGTATGCGAATCCAGATTTATGAATGAGTTTCCCAACTCAACAGCCAGAGAAGGTGGGAAGTTCAAACCCGATGAAGATGTTTCTTGCCCATGTGCGACTCCGCAAATTTAAATTCAGCTTTTGCCTGCATCTAGGCTTCATATGCGCGGCACGTGAAACTTTACGTGAAGAAATTCCTAATAAGGGGAAAAAGTTGCAATTTTACAACGATTACTGTTTTTTTATGTAATTCTGAAAATTTAAATTCAGCTTCCACGTACATCTCTGTTTAGCTCAGATTGATAAATGCTTGATCATACTGGCCAGTTTGTGCACGCAGTATGATGAAGATACGCACTGTGAACTCTCAATGGGCGTGATGCATGCTTTTTAAAATTTTTAAATTACTTAGTAGCAGTATTCCTCTTAGAAATAATGGATTGCTAGGCAAGAAATGATTCTGACTGACTGCCGTGGTTCAGTGCAATTATTCAGGACAGTCCCTCTAAGAAAAAGAAAAAAAAGCACGAAAACGAAAGCCACAAGAAAAAGCAAGCTTTCGAAAGAAACAGCCTAAACAATGAAAATATACTGCTGGTAGATCGTATCAGCAATAAGGTGCGCCTCAGTGAAGTGACAACCGAACAAACCAAAGTTAGTTAAGCTTGTAATAACAAAAAAGAGTAACTGTTCCGTGCGAATGTTCGAGACGAAATCGAATTCAGGTCCTTCTTTGCTGTACAGATCTTTTTTGTCCACCAAGCCGCCACTGTAGTAGGAGCCCAAAGTTACGAGATCCGTGCCAACATAGATTTTTCGTGCCACCGATAACGCGCAACATCGCTGCAGGATGCTGGAATAAAGTTTTTTTTTTTCATCTGGTAAAAAATTTTTAAAAGATAAGAGCTCATGCTATAGTTGCGCTTAATGTTTGATTTGTGCTTCACCTCGACGCCGATATGCGCAGCTTTTTCATGCGGTAATCATTGAGTTTCCTATTCACATCTTATTAGCTCTAGAGGAAGTAACAATGTTTGCATTAAAAAATGCAACTTTTATCAGCTGCTCGGGCTGGGATTTTTTATAAAAATTACGCTCGTTCATTCATTTGTTACGAAATTAACCCAAGTCTGGAGTACGTCAGGTTTGGCAGTACGATCATGCGTTTTTTTTTGCACTAGACTTGAGGCAGTCAGGTCGTTAACGGTATGAATGGTTGTTGCTTTACACTTATCTCATGTATTCAGCGTAAAACGTCGCATATTTGACGTAAAGGAAATCGGAGAATTTCCGTTTATCGGTCGCTTTTATGCGTGTTTGCATGTATGCTAATCCTGTCCATGCGCCACCAAAAGCTTCCTGAACTCAGTCTCCTACTGCATGAAAACGTGAAACGTGCTCAGTTGGGAATCAGAACAGCTAGGAAG